CAGAAATCTACTTTTTCTCAGATATACACATGTGTATGCATGTCAGTGCTACAGTCTCTTACATTAATTCGGAAGAGCACATTCAAGTTGAACTGCAGTTAAAGATTTCTTAATTTTAATCATGGTGCAGATACGGGCATAAATAAAATAAGGTTAGGTTAGGTTATTCAATTACGGCAAAGCCTCGAGGGCTATCTGCCTAAGGGAAGGGATGCCTTTCGTGGAGGAATTTCTAAGGGAAACTGGCTCGTATACACGTTACACATGGGGAAAACCACGAAAACACCCATGCAGCCAGCCCGTTCGCGGGATTCGAACCTCGGACCGAACTATAAGTGTTCAGCGACTTTACCGCTCGGCCGCTGGTGGTCTAAATAAAATAAGGAAGTTATTTTAAAGCAATGAAGCTCAAATCTGATTCGCATAAGTTTTCAATAAGAATACCTTACTTTTTAAGCTTTTCACATATGAATTATAATTGCAGAAAAATAATACTAATTTCTTTCATGTTTAAAAAAATAATAAAAAAAGTAATTTGCTTCAAGAGAGAAAGAATTGCGCCAAAAAAAAACTTAAAATTAGGCAAAACAACGACCTTGTGTTTGTTTACCTTAGATTTTATCGATTTCGAGGGCAATCAGTTATATGTCTTTCATCGTCAGGAGCGAAAACGTTCTGCAGAAAAGGTTCGTCAGTCGTGAAATCACGACCGTATTTATACCTAAAGCAAAAATGAGTCTAGAGCCATCTGTCCAAGTAAATAGTAATATATATATATAAAATTAAGATATTAAAATTTTACTATACTACTGATTCTTCTAGAACAGGTGTTCTCAACTAGATGGAAATCCTCTCCCTAGATGGGATTTTATATTTTCAAGAGGGAATGCGGTCAGCCTTTATTTATCTTTAAAGTATTTAGTTCTAGTTTATGAATATAAAAAATTCCTTTTATTTAAATTTTGATATTTATCGTTTAATTTGTGAAACACATTAAAAGTAATCTAAATCTAAATAAATGCTCTTTTTTAGTCCAAAGGGGCAATTTGCCCTGAAGGACTATTAATATAGTTTTCGCATTTTGCGTTGAAAACTATAAACGGCGAATAACTTTTCAAATTACTGCCACCAAATATTATCGCCTTGTATTATATTTTAAAGAAAATAAATAATGAAGAATCTGCATAAATGTGTGTATGTTTCTCGCCTTGTCATAAAACAACGATACCTAGTACCATCAAAATTTGAATAACGTAATCTTCCATAGAATATGAGCATGTGGAAGAACTGAATTTGAAATTTGTTTCATTATCTTTTTCATATTTTGTAACACTTCAACGAATTTTTGATTGAAAATCTAAACGATTTCAAAACCAGCGATGGCAACACTGTACGGAAAAAAAAAAAAAACCCTTTTTATCTCCAGCGCGCGAGACTTTGTATCAGAAATTCTAAAGATACGCTCATTTTAAAATTATCTTGCGATATTGCTGTTGAACTGAATTTCATGGCTTGAGTACGTAGAATATAATATTTAATAAATAAAGGTAACACACAAAACGTTAAAAAAAAAAAAAAAAAGCCCGCCCCTTTGGACGCAATTTAAAATCTGAAACCTTTCAGACTTTTTTATCCCCCCCCTTTTTTTTAAGATTTGGAAAAGAGGAGGGGTAAATGATCTCCTAATGGTTAAAAGGTTGAGAATCACTAGAAATTCCAGAATATAAATAGAGGTCGGACAGCTAAGCAGTTTAACTGTGAATCAGTTGCGAATCAGATTTGAGATATGGCGGTTTGCCATATCTCATAGTTCAGTATGAGTTAGGACACTATGAGTTAGGAGTCGGCATCCATTTTTGGCAGCGTGTCGAAATCAACCAAAATGTGTTTATTAAGAAGACGTTTCGGGTCAGTGGCTTTTCATTTGAGAACAGTTTTTCTTGGAGAATAATAAGATAAATTTTATTGAGAAATAGCTACAATACGCTCTAAACAAAATTAAAATTCTAATTCTAATTATTTTAAAAACAAATATAAACGAGTGGACTTTATTCTTTTCTTCGATATCAATTGCTTCTCTGACGCTGAATTTGTGACGTGAGTTTAGCCAAGTCTAGCTTATAATTAGTCTTCTTTAGTCAAATTTAAACATCTGAATTTTCGATAGTTAAACTGCTCCTGCTCTTACTGAAAATAAATTTTTTGTGTGAAAATATTTGTTTGCATTTATAAAATGAAAGCAATACGGACAAAATGGCAAATCCTGTTTTGGGAATTATGGGTTATGGATCAGAGTTGGCAAACTTATCGATTTCGCTTTGAAATTGTGTTACAATTTTTATTTTTAAAAAATAAATATAAATGTTCATTACTGTAACTTTGTAATTAAAAAAATGTTATTGTTTTTATTTATTAGAGTAGTACAATTTTACAGGTTCTGGAACAGTTGAGTTGTTTTACTCCTGCTGCTTGGGAGTTCTGGAACAGTTGAGTTCTTTGTTCCTCCTTCTTGACGCGAGTGACGTCAGAAAGCATGCCCCTTCTTAGAGTTGAGCTGTTTTCTGCAGGCTATTTCAGCGGAAATGACGTCATAAAGCATACTAATTTCCTAGTTTAGTTGTTTTACGATAGCTTCTATACCGGAAATGACATCACATCGGCATCGTATGTACTTCGTTAATTATAATTCTGGTGTATAGTAACAATAGGACTTAATGAAATTTTGCTTTGGAACAATACTCTTGCGATATAATTAAACATTTCAATAAATAATATGTGTCATTGAAGCAAATAAATTTTAATTATATTAATATTATTTATATAAATTATTTAATTTAGAAATAGGGAATAAATTTGAATTGTATTCGAACATAAAAAAATTCAGCGGTGGAGCATGACGTCATTGCTTTAGCGGGGGAGCAAGTGATGGAAAATGACGTCAATACATTTGCGGTGGAGTATGACCTATGACTATAAAAGCATCCGTAGCAGAAAAGTACCTATCCTTTCTTTTCTTCCATCTCTTCCTTTCAAAACTTCAAATAAACCACACACCTAATGCTAGTTACTTCTTTTTTTTTTTTTTTTTTTTTTTTAAAGAATCAATGTATTTAATGCATTGATAATTTACATATTTAATCGATTAATTAAATAAATGCATTTTAAACGCAAGTTATGTTTTGTCGTGGGCTGCTCTAATTTAAAAGTAGAGTGAATCTAAGTAGATTACAAAACTATTTTTTAGTTATTTTTGTGTAGAGCAATTATTAGAATTCTTTTCCTGTCTAGAAAACAAACAGCTTTAAATCAATGTCCGAAAAAGAACTGTTTGAAAAACAAATAAACAATTCCCTGCTTAAGATGAAGATATTTTACTTGCTTTGCCACCTTTATTAGTGATAGCAGAACCTGAAAAGGTAAAATGAAATGCTAAGAACACAATTCATCCTTATCCAAAAAAGAACTTGTCTGTAACTGAAATCTAGCAAAGCTGGAATGGAAACTGAATCTGTTGATTGTCGTCCAAGCAGAAAAATGTGACACTTCCACATTTGTCTTCGACAGCTCGATTGATCTCCATGTTTTGATATCTCGGTCAGGTAGAAAGTGCTAAGAAGTTCTCTACACTTTTCACGGATCACAGACTTATACGAGTTATTCTGAGAATGCTGTCAACGCCATTCGATGTTTGGATCTCAAGTGACATGTTTATCGCACTTCAATTTCAGTTGGCTGACCATTCTTGAGGGCTGCTAAATGCAGCGTAGCATAACAACCAGAACTCTCTTTAATATCAGTAGTGCAAGATTCAGCCACTATTTATTCAGTTTGAAAGGACATTTTATTTCAGTTACCAGTTATAATGATTTAAGTCTTTACTATAATTTCTCTTTTCTGTATTCCTCCTCAAAATGTAAATTAGGTTTGTGTTTATTTAAGGCGAAAGTTCTGAATGTTTATGTTAGCGCTTCTGGCAGCCGCGTCTTACTGTTATTAACTCTCGCCAGACCTGCTTAAGGTTATATTCCGGCTTCAGCATCTTGCTAGGCGATGCTTTAAAGTACGCACAGGTAAATTCTGAGCCTTCTTAAGTAACCTATTTCATGTGTAGTCTTAAACTATGTTGTCTACGTTTTATTTTAAATGTCTAATATATTAATTCAAATAGACACAAGTAGTGGAGATTTCGACTGTAGCGCAAGTTGTGTCTGCCCTGTTCAATAATCTTCTTTAATATTTTGTGAGTTGTTTAAGATGTAGCGATAACTTGCTGTCAATCTACTAAGACAGCAAAATCTTAACTTCCTCTTACAACAAAACCTTACTATACAGATTTAGTTAGTCAAAAGAAATTCTTAAGCGTATCGTATGTGCTTGATTTGAGTTGTATTAATCTTTAAAATATTATTTATACTATTAAAATCTGTGTACGTTTGTCTGTTTGCTTGTTTGTAATATTACCTCCTCCGGAACGGCAGGGAGTTGAGTTTCGAGAGAGGTACTCCCGGACTCCAAAAATTCGTGGGAAGCTATTTCAAATATTCACGTCTTCGTACGATTTTAATAATCCGAGATACAGTAGACGCTCGTTTTTACGAACTTGTAGGGACTACGAAAACAGTTCGTTAAATCGAGAGTTCGTAATTTAGAAAGGCATCGGAAATTGTTAGTATTTCACATTTTAATGTTTTCGAGACAGGTTAGTGATACTAGTCCATGCTTTTATTTATGTATTAGGAATTATTTTTAATAGTATTACTACTTAATAAATGATATCCATTCTATTAAACAAACAAGAAATATAAAATATTTGTAAAACGTACCTTTATTGAGCAACAAAATAATCACTTATCTTTGTCTGTTTTAAAACAACAGATTGTACAATGCAAGACTCCATCTTCTCTATATTTGTTAGCATTTCACAATTATCACTGGCCTCAAAAAAAATCGTCTAAGTTCTGACAAGTATTCAGCAGCTTGTTTTAAAGTCGGTCTTGGTGTTACTTCATTTTCTTCTTCTTCTTCTGGATCTGAAGGTCTCTCATCTCGTTGATTATGCTGCTAATAATATCGTGATCCGATATTTCCTCCATGCAGATGACATTAGAATCCACATTTAAAAAATCCTCGAATGAAAGTTCTGGCAACTGTGGATTTCTACGGCGAAGTTCATGCATGAGAGCCTCATCTTCGTCGTGAGATCTCTTGTCATGGATTTCTTCAGTTACGTCCGTTTCTTTAATAAAACTTGCATGTCGAAAGGCTTTAGAAATTGTTTCATCTAAAACATCATTCCATGCACTGATTGATAAATGCATTGCACCAAGAATATCAATTTGATAAGGTTGTTCCCTTTCCAAGCCAAGGATTACTCTTTGCAAGAGCACTGTCTTATATTTTCTCTTGAAACTATTGATTATCCCCTGATCCATTGGCTTGTAAAACTGCAGTTGCATTTGGTGGGAGATTTCCACACGGATTGCCTAAAGCTCAGTGACTTCCATGTGTTGCAGTACAGTTGTCCACGATTAGGAGAACTTTGCTCTTCTCTGCTGAAAAAAAAACGGTTATCTAAATCTCTTCAACCCTTTTTCGTAGATGTTGCCAGTCATCCAGGCCTTATTATTAGCATAATATGCAGCAGGAATCTTTCTGAACCTTTTTGAAACACCTTGGTTTCAGATATTTTCCAATAAAGAGCAGAGGCAATTTTTGTGACCCAGTCATGTTGGCTGTAATCAAAACTGTAAGTCTCTCTTTAGCTTTATTACCTCCAACACATTTATCTCCTTTGTAAGCTAATGTTCATTCTGGCAAAATCTTAAAAAACAAAGCCGTTTCGTCCGCATTAAAAACGTCATCTGCAGCGTATTCAGAAAGAAGCAATTTCAACTTTTCTTCTTTCTATTCATTTGCTGATGACGTGTCTACTGCTGCACTTTCACCACACACTTTCCGGAAACTCAAACCATTCCGAAATTTAAAAATTTCTGTAACCAACCATCCGATGCTTTAAAATCTTTGATGTTTAATTTCGAAGCAAAAAAAAGTGTGCTTGTTCTTTAAGTACATTTTCATCAATTGGAATGTTTAAGCTTCTCATCTTTCGAAACCAAACAAACAAAGCCCTTTCCAAATTTGGGTGTTTTGATTCTCGAAAGATTTTCGAAGGAGGGTCCACATTCATCGTTTCCGTTTTTAGCTCCCAAAGATCTTCTCTCTTGCCTTTAAAATCGTCGATAAACTATTTTTAGGAATTCATATTTCTGAGCAATTTGTGTCTTGCTTAATATTTTTTCGTCAACTTCTTTTAAAAAATCTTCTTTATTTCAACCGCTAACAAAATTCGTTTCTTCATTTGCGACATAGTTCTAAAGAAGCTTACTTAACAAAAAAAACTGGCCCAATCTCCTCTCGACTAACGAGACTTCACTGATTGAGTTGTCCAGATCAAATGACTATGACATTACAAAAATCAACAACTCTCTTTTAGAAGCAACCCAAACCATATTAACACGAATGGTCTCACCCCCACCCAACAACATCAGGCCGATGCTCTTCTGAGAGCCTCCCACAACAAACAACACCATAAATTTGTACTAATTCCCCCTCTTCTCCGCTCCCTCCTTCCTTACTGTACTTCTTCGAATAATTCGCACTTGCTGCCTCAAAATAGTTGGAGATTTTATTTGACCTTCACACTTCGTCCTAATGAAACACGCAGAAGTATGAAAACTGAGTTCGCAAAAAAGAGATTTTCCTGATTTGTAGTTCGTAAATAAGAGCGCAAAATTACATTACATCTATGGGAGTGTATTCGGGACCATTCGCTAGTTCGTCAAATCGAGAGTGTTCGTAAAAAAGAGGTTCGTAAAAACGAACGTCTACTGTATTAATTAAAAACTATGAAAACGTTATATTGGCAACCAAACATTTATTTACAAACTACACTGGTGAAATAAATTAAGAGAATTTCCATGTTTTATCGAACTGCATGAAAAGAACTGAACTGAAGGGAAAACCACTACTTCTAGATAAAAATGCAAGTCTTGTACGGCAAATACGTAAGCGTACAGATGTGTGTAGGTGGAGCTAGCAGAAAAACAGGCTTTATAAGCGCGTTTAGAGTAAGACGAATTGCTTTCGCTAGCACACCTCGGCGAATTTCTTGGTGTTATCTTGCAGTAATCAGTTAAATTCACATCGGAATAGTAAAAATGAGTAACCATTAACGTTTAGATGATGACGTGAGGTGGCGAATTGTGGAGAGACTAGAGGCATGCCAACTGCAAGTCCAGATATGCAGAGAGTTTAATTTAACGACCAGCGTCGTGTGTAACCTATGGAAATAGTTCCAGGATGCTGGATCTATCGAGAGAAAGCCTGGAGAAGGTCGTCCAAGAGCCATGACGGCCAGAGAAGGTCGCTATTTGTCCATTTTAGCGAGGCGTAACAGAGGAGCTACAGCTTCTCAGCTCTCTCGGGACCTGTATGCAGCCACAGGAACTCGTAACAAGGGTGACTGTTTCTAAAAGACAATGAGAGAGTATTGTTTGCCAGAAGGACGGCTGTTTACATCTCACTCACGTCTACGGACAGGAGAGTCCGATTAGCATGATGAAGGCAGCATAGTGATTGGAGTACGGAGCAATGGGCGACCGTTATGTTCACCGACGAGTCCCGTTTTAGCCTAAACACTCGCCGTACTTTCATATGGAAAGAGCCAGGAACCCACTACCTACCCTTGAGTGTCCGTGAAATCAACAGTTATAGCGGTGGTAGTGTAATGGTCTGAGCAGGTATTTTGTTGGATGGCCGCACACCTCTCCACGTCTTTGACAGAGGCTCTGTGACTGGTGTGTGGTATAGGGATGAGGTCTTGGAGCTCTATGTTCGCCTTTTTCGGGATGCAGTGGGCCCCGAGTTCATCTTATAGGACGATAACGCGAAGCCACATACTGTTCTTCTGGTCGACGAATTTCTCGAGAGTGAGGATATTCACCGGATTGATTGGCCAGCCAGGTCTCCAGACCTCAACCCTGTACAGCATGTCTGGGACGCCCTGAGGAGGGCAATTGCAACTCCCAACCCCCCTCCGAGAACCATTCAGGAACTGAAACAGCGTTATTGAATGAGGGGGACCAATTGCCATAGGCACTGATAAACTGCCTTATTTCCATCACGCTATGTGAACATCATATGTGACATCACGCTGCGAGGTTTGTATGGCTGTAAGAGAGGACCATACCCCCATTAACCCATTTCTTTGCAACCGCTGTTTCAGACCTTCAGACTCTCATGAGTTTACACACGAACACATGTGTATCTATTATAACTGTTGAATTTTTTTTTTTTTTTTTTTTTTTGTGTGTGTGTGTGTGTGTATTATATCAACCTATGTTCACACGAAATTTTATTAAAATTTGTCCAGTAGTTCTGGAGATCTAGATCAAATATGAAAATTATCTTAATTTGTTTCACCAGTGTAGTTGTTGGGATTGCGTGAGGTATAAATTATTGACTACTGCGGGTTATAGTAAGCTTATTAAAAACGCTAATATGGGCAAAAAAAAATTATTTACGAACTAATTGTAACGGGTTGTGCGAGATACTAGTTTTTGATTGTTGCAGGTTTTTACTAGATCTTTATTAAAAACTCTGGAAACGCTAATTTGGTCAAAAAAATGTAACGTCTTTGCGTTGCTACGCTATCAACATAATACCAATAAGAAATGTAAAGAAACCTCGGGCATAAAATATCCGTACTTGAAGATGCATGCGATGTTTAATGTTAATGGTACGCTTTGAAATCGTTGAGTTTGTTAATCAAAAATTCGTTAAAGTTGTACAAAATATGAAATAGATAATAAAACAAATTCTAAATTTGGGCTTCCAGATGCCCATATTCGAGTGCAGGAGTAAGTTATTCAAAATTTGATGTCTCAAAATTTCAAAATTTGAAGGTATCGTTGTTTCTTCACAGTGCGAGAAACATACATACATTCATATAGATTCTTCATTATTTAATTTCTTTAAATGTGATGCAGGGCTCTAATATTTGGTGGCAACAATTTGAAAAGTGAAACGCTGTTTTATAGTGAACCAATGCAAAATGATAAAACAAAATTAATAGCCCTTCTGGGGTAACGCCCTTTGAGCTAATAATCATTCAGAATCATAAAAATAAAGGTTCCTTAATAGTTACTACAGACTTGTCGATGTGACTTTTTATGAGCTTGTTATTTCTGCCGCAATACTTTTATTCATTACCGAAAGCGAAGGCCCGCCACCCAGACGGTGTAGTGATTAGGGGAGCCTACTGCGACCGAAGAGCCCAGGTTCGAGTCCCGGAGAAGACATGGATGTCTGTAAATGTATAGTGTCTTTGCGGCATGGGGGCACTCTAAATATATGCCGAGCCGAAAGTCCTGTGGTGTGGTTTGGTGGTAGGGAAGAGGGGTGAGAGACCCCCCGGACCACACCCCACCCCCGAGGGGCTCACGCTCATAATTGGGGTGGAAAGTAGAAGTCCAACCTCCTTGAGTCTCTGGCAAACATTCTTTTATGAAATTACATGGATAAGACAACAACAACAAAAGAAGCCCCGGAGCGGAAAAAAAACGAATGCATTTTTTAGATAAATACACTCAGTTCTCCTTTTTAAGCAACTTGGAATTTTGATTATATTTGTTTCTTTAAGCAAGCAGCTTACAAGAAATAATCAACATACGAGAAATGATGCTTTATTTTGATTTCATAATATAAAATGCAGTATTTACTCACTTACTTCCCCTTTCTGTACTTCAAAAAAATTTTCATTTTGACACTTCTAAGAAAACTTCAAAAATACATTAAGATGTAAAATCTAACTAAACGTTTTATAAAAAATTATGTCTTGTAATAAAATGAGCGATGGTAAAGTGGTGAGTAGATAGAAAATGGGGGTTCTGCGACAGGTGGATCAGTGGATCAGGGGGCGTGGTCAATGACATCACAGAGGGCGGGGCCAAAGGCAACGTCATCACACTAGGAGGCGTGGTTTCGAGTGGAGTTGAGTTGTTCGTAGACTACTGATTGAGTTGTAGACCTCCTGCTTTTCATTAAAAGTTAGTTTTTTTTAATTTGGCAACGGAGTCATGGCGTCCTCTAGGGACGAAAAAAGAAAATAATGTATTTAGGAATTGCTTATGGCGTCCTCTAGGGACGAAAAAAGAAAATAATATATTTTGTAAGTTTCTTTTATTAAAAAAATGTTCTATGATTCAAAATATAGGATTGAACCCTGAAACAAAATATCTCACCAGCTGAGTAGTTTGAAGATTTTAACCACTAAGCTGACGGGATACATTCAGATTTAGGTAAAAAAGCCTATATAAGAAAATGGAATTTGAATCAGCTCATCAATTGCAATTATGCCTGCTCCAGGAGAAGC